GAGAGAGAGAGAGAGAGAGAGAGAGAGAGGAGTGAAAGTAGGAGAAAGTCTTCCATTAATTTCAATTGTCTTCTATTATTGAATTGCATTTTTGGGTTGAGTTTTGTCTTTATTTTTTTGGGAGTCAATCGAAACAAATGGTCGCAGAAGTAGTCCTAAAACTGTTGAGTGGTTTTACGTGTTTATCACAAATCAAAAACATGACACAGTTTTTGATGGACTTTAACAGAGCCATCGGTTCCAACAATTATGATAATAATAACAACAATTAGATAACGCTAGCAATTGGGTGGAAAGGGAAGTGCTCTACTTTGACCCACGGATCCGCTCCCACTGACCGCCACTCCGGTGCCACCGGCAGTGCCGACACCGCCCGCACCGCCCGGCGGGCCGTTATTACTGACGGAGCGGTTGTTTTGCTGAGCGAATGCCACCGTTTTCTTAACAGTGGGCGGCGGCGGACCGGCAATGGTCTGGTGCACGGACTCGTCAATCATGTCAGAGCCGCGGTCTATGACACGACCTGTCAGAGCACTAGTGGCTGTGGTTGTGGTAACGGTTACTCCGGTCGTCGACTCGCATATTGTAAGAGCGGTGGGCGACGGGCCGGGAGTGAGGGCTGCGGTGGTCGGCAGCATACTTATAGTGGTCGATGGGATGGCAATCGGCGGCAAATGGCTGTAACTGGCCGTTGATGTGGATGTGATGGCTGTTGTGATGATTGGATTCGTCTGAACGGTGGATGAGATGGAATGCGATGATATGACAGGCATTGATGGCTCGTGTTTCCCAACGATCGGCGCTTTATTCGAGAGCATCGAGTCGTTGCTCACACTTCTTGAGGTCGAACCTGATTTGGCGATCAATGCATACATTAATTGCAATCTTAAATCACATGTATTTCAATGGATAGTAAGAGAGGAAGCGTTTGTCGTACTTCTCCTTTGAGGCCAAATCTCTAGCAAAAACTTGAAGACTTCGATCGGTTTGTGAAGATTTTCACTCTCCGAATGGCACGTAAAGAGTGGTCCAAAACAGATGGCCATCGCTTGCGACGACATCTTATTCCTGTCGGCGCGTCCCATAACCTTCTTCAGGTGATCCATCAAAAACAAAACCGTACACTAAATGGACAAACAGTTCGCAGCAATAAGTTAGCACCAGTTTGACTGACAGTTGCCTTCAAATATTAATACTACAAACCCTATTGATCTTTGGCAGGCATTCGAGTATAGAGAACATGAGTTTGGCATTTCCAGCAGGGTCATCCGCCAAACACACGCTCAACCCATCGTCCATCATATCAAACAACGCTTTCGTAAACAACGGATCCGGCAGTTCGCGGACGTAGTCCTTCAGTAAGCCTTTAGATAAACGATATTAAATATGTATCAATATTTGCCCGCTTTTCAAATCCACACTAAACTTATTATATAATAAAAAGCAGTGTTTATATCAAAGCCGTTGTATTCAATCAAAATAAGTTTGTTTGACAAGTCATTCACAGGTTATTTATGCAACTTTAGGTCATTTTAATATAATTAATCTTTTGCGTTTACATTTCAATCAAATTTTATATATATATTATTTCATAATTGTCGTGCATTTAAGTCGAGAATAGCATTAATTGCCGCTTTAAGACATTAAAAACTTGATTGCAAACATTTCAAAATTATCTTAATATTTTTTTTGTATTTTTTAAAAATGCTAAATTATATTATAATTTTAAATTAAAAACAATTAGGGGTTAATAAATAATTAATTCAGTTCAGTTAGACATTAGTCCTTTAGTCAATTTGTCGGGCCATTGGTTTTAGACTTTGCTTTTGTTTCTCATGATAGGCTGGTGACCGGTCATGCCTTCGGTCGCGTGGATCACATCCCAACACGTTCTGCACAGGTATGTCATGCATAGGTCGCGACAAAATATGGGCCCCTTTTCTGTGCGACAATGCGTGCAATTGCTGTCCTCGAGGAAGGGGTCGATTTGGATCTTCTTCTGAAAACGGGCCGCTTTCACGTCGATGAACGCCGCCTGAACCGCTCGGGCGTAGGACTTGGTTGTGCTGAATGTCACTCTTCCCGAACCGATTGGATACTTGTATTTGTCGGTATCGATACCAACGTAAACCACACCACCGAACAGGTCCTCGAGAATAGCGGCCAAACCATCGGCGGTCAGCATTCCGTGCAGAGCGCCCACAAAAACCGTCTTATTTGCGTCAACTCTGGCGGTCGGACTCCTCACAAAAGTGGTGTCGTTTACATTCCATGGGATTATCTGAACGTCTTTCGGACGAAAGCGGGTTTGGTTGAGAGCGAAGTAGTATTTGCCACCATTGCTGAAGTCATGGATGCAGGCGCTCAACAGTGACTTCACCTGTTTGTCCGACTCGAAGATGAGGTAAAGATAGCCGGCTTTGTCTTTATTCTGACTCGTCCTCGAGAGCCGCACGTGTTGGCCCGGACGCAGAATATTGACGTTTCCAAAGCGAGAGAACGTCAGCTTAATGTCGTGATCAGTCATCTCCCAGGGGACGCCTCCCAGGAATACTTTGCACGAATAAACCGGAGTCTTTGCCGGCGAAGTGGGAACAGTTCCGCTCCAAGTGTGTCGCGCGTCGGCAAAAGCGGCCGCATTTCGGTGTTGTTTCGCGGACTCCAGGATTCGGTCCGAAGTGTTTTGCGGATTAAAGTGTTGACTCATGTGAAGAGGGCTTTGATCGAAGAGTGGACTCATTGTATTCATTGTGTTGCCAAACAAAGGGCTCAATAAATTCCAAGAGTTGAGTCCGTACGGGGGCCGCATCGGCACCATTGGATACGTCAACATCGGTGATGACATGTTGGGCGAAAAGGGAGACTTGTTGTGATTTATCGGACTATAAGTGTCCGGCCAAAGTGGCATTAGTGGCGGACTATATGAGGGAGTGTTCGGAGTCTTAGGCGAATCCCCTGTCGAAGACATTTTTTGCGGTTTACGAGCGCTCACTATAGCCGACGACTTCACTGAAGGGTCAGTGATGAACGCTTTAGGCGATGGAGTTCTCCAGTCGAAGTCATTGTCGCGACAGTCGTGGCCCAAGTCGTGGCCGAAGTATCCCGAGTCGAAGTGGTCATCAAAAGAGGACGAATCGCTGCTGAATGTCGGGAAAGTGTTGGATCTCTTGCGATACGCAGACCTGAAACCAATATTGGCGGTGAACACTGCGCCCCTGTCGATGGGTGGACTACCCTTTGAACTTTTGTCCATTATATAAAACTAAACTAAACTGGGTATATTACAAAATATAATAAATACAATTCTCACTAAATTAGGCACAACTCTAATTAAATTGAGAAATTATATTATTAATTAAAATCAATTAATATATTAAAGACTTCATTTGACTAAAACCGATGTTAACACTAAAAACATTAAAGCAAAGTGAGCTCTATCTCCTTTATAGCAGCTCTTATATACCCTTAAAATCAAGTAAGAGTTTACATTTATTATTTGATATCAAATTTGATCATGTATTGAAAATGCATCCAACACAGGCATGGTGAAATTATAATAAACTCTCATTTCAATGTTAATCCCTTAAAATGATATCATTTAAGAATTGCCAGTAATCCTCGTATTCAAGAATCGTATTAAATGTGTGCAAAAAAATTCATTTTCATTCAATGTTAACACTTTTTTAAGCCAAATATTGTATTCGATATGTATTTCACAATTGAATAATGAATTGGTTGTTACTAAATGTGTTGATATTTTTAGGAAATTTTTTCATTTCCTTAACATTCATTAATCGTCGGACAAAATATCTGTTATAGGAATTGAGTGGAACTCATAGGACCAGTGGTGCAGAGTTTAGTCAAATAAAATTTGTCACAATGCCTGACAAACACATCACCTGTTTGTTACAACAACTTTTGTAAAGTTTGTGCAAAATTTGGGAATTTAATTTACAAATTTGTTATCAACAAAACTTTTTAAATTCTATAAACTATGGAAAAACTTTGATTTTAATGTTAAATGTTTGCAATCAATTGTTTTAAATGAAAAGCTCAAAGAAAGCATTTGTTGCGCAAAAAGTTTTTTATATGACTGTAATAAATGTGGCAAAAAGTTAATAAAAATAATAGTAGACTCACTGGCGATGACATTGATATCCGGGACGTGTTCGGGGCTGAGGTCGCAAAGCCATGCATTCTTCTCGAAGCCTTCTCTAAGCATTTTCTTTCTGACAGATGAGCCGCAGAGTCGGTAAATGCCGACCAAATCGAGACCCCGTTTCTCGATCTCATCGACACATCGTTTCACAATTAACGGCACATTTAGTCCGGAATTCTCGCGATTCACAACACTCTCGACGTCGACACCGAATATGGCGTTCACTGTTTGACCACTGGGTGTGACGATCGGCCGCTGGAATGTTGACTGAAGGTCTTTGTATCGGAGTTTCACATATAGAGTGCCTCTCGGCTCCATCTTTAAGGCCAGACTGTGAGCCGGAGTCTCATTGAGTGACAGCGAAGACAAATGAAGAACTCCTTTGTAACACAACTTATGTCTGAATTGCGGATCCCATGTGTATAAGAGGAACGCAATCTCTTTGGTGTCAAATAAGTCCACATCAAACACTTCGTCCCAATCGAAGCTCTGTTCACCACTCCTGACAACAGTGCGGGCCTTATGTATGCGATCGCATTCGAGCACACAATACACGTCCCGATAGTGTTCACTCACGTGACCAGTGCTGGCCCGCAGACCCCGACCCGCCAACAGATGCACATTCACTAAACCACTGAACCCTTCGCTCTGTAATCCGCGCTCCGGTTTCTCCGGTCTGTACTTAAAGAATTCGCGCGGATTTAGTGACAACAGGTGTAGACGTGAGTCTTCACTGGGCTTAACGGGCGTCGGGTTAGGTATGGATCCGCGCAAGTAATCCATTGTAAACGGATTTAATATGGATTTATTGAGCGCCCGATTGGAGTCTTCGCGACCCATCGGCAGCATTGATGATGTCTTGCCAGTAATGGCCGCACGGCTTGCATATAAATCGGCCAAAAGTGTCCGCTTCTGTTCCTAAGGATTGCCCAATAAATTAATGACAATTTGAAAATATGTTTTATAAATATATTTATTGTCATAATATATGACAATAAACTGACCGATCGGATGGTGTCGAGCAGACTCTCAGCCGAATTAGCAATTTTGTTGATACTATGAGAGCTCAATGGGAGTTGTTTTCCCCGTCGGACGCATTCATATATGGCTGAAGTGGACGGCGCTCTGACCATCCAATTCTGGTACTCATCCGAAGAATATGTGGTGTTTGGCGAAGTGGTTCTCCGGCCTAACGAGTAATTCAAATATCATTATTATTTATGCGTTAAAACAAAATCATACGCGAAATACAGACCCATTCTTCGCGGACGAGTGGCCGGCAATTCGGGCGCAGAGACGGCTCCGTCGCTGTCCTCGTCGTAGCCGAGAGGGGGTCTCTCGAAGCGAACGGTCTGTCGCGGCGGTCGTCTCGAGGGAGGCGTACGCGAGAAGTAGGGATAGTCTTGAGATTGGGGTCGCGTTCGCGGCAATGAACTGCTCCTCAACTGGAATGAGTCGCGGGAACCGCCGCCTCCCCTAACCATTCGTGAATACGAGCCCAGACTTCGCTGTCCCAGCAAATAGTGAGACGGAGAACTGGTCTCAGTGTCCGAAGCGCTTCCGTCGAAGTATGGGTTTCTTCGCCGTAATATACTATTAATGGCCTGATTTGACGACGAGTTTCTCAACTCATCGATTCTTCTCTGTTTCAAGTCTTGCATAGAAGCCACCGATGGATAGCCGCCTGTCGTCGAGACACTGGTTCTACTTAATGGTCGCATATATCTGTCGAGGAAGTCGTCGGACATTGTGGGCGGTATTCCGTGATCGCTCTCCGTTCGCAACAGTCGTTGCCCTCTAAAGTGGCCGCTATTGGGAGCACTTCCGGCCATCGCGTAGTCCTCCCAATAGCGTTGCCGTCCCGTAGAGGGAGGTCTGTGGACAGCAGCTCTCGTCACACCCATTGAACCGCTGCGTCGCGACGATTGTGGCACATCTGAAGAGTATCCGGAGCTGTAATACTGGTGCACCTGAGCTGACAAGTTGTCTATAGTTCTCGGGTACTGTCGGCGCAACACATTTGGCTGTTGAGTGATTATACCGTACGGACGACTGTGTGAGACACCTGTCCTTTGGTCGCTCCACATGTCGTCTCTCACTTGCATCGATGGATAGGTTCCGGACATCGATGTCCGCAATTGCAAGGGTTGTGTGTTATAGTAAATCACTTCGTCCTCCGGACGCGGCGGTAACGCCCGGTATATCTGGCCGTCGAGAGGCACAGCCATGGCTGGAATGTTGTCGGGCAGACCCTTGAGTCTGGCCTGCATTAAGTGTCCGTTTTCGCTGTCCCTCTGACTCGTCCCCTCGTCGTACGGCTCGTCCTCCACCTCTCGCTTCACGACAACCACCGGTAGGTTTCGGTAGTCGTTTCCCATCGACTTTCTGGCCATTATTGCCGACTGACTCCCGGAATAGATGTGCGAACGGATTGTGAGCACAAGTCGCCGGGGAATCGACATAATGATGACCACATCGTCCAAAGACATGCGGCGGACGTCTACTAAATTGACGGCCAATACCTCGTCACCCACTTTAAGAAGTCCACTGTTATAAACAGCACTTTCTAACGCTATGCGCGATATAAACACCCCATCACTGCACCGGTAACCGTCGCCTTCGCGTATGTAAAGCCCTAATGTCTGTCCCGGCCTTTTGATGATCTCCACAAACTGTGCGCTACTGTGATGTCCGCCGCCCTGTGTTGTTGCGGTGCCGTATCGACGGCCGGCCTCCACACCAGCCCTTCCCAGTGTCTGGGGATTGAGTAGTCTTATAACCATTTCTCCCCTCTTCTCGACGGACTCGAAGTACGCGGCGGTCGTGGAGTCGAAGTCATTCTCGACGGCCTCTATTTGGCGAAACACTTCGGACGTAATTCCACTCACTTTCCGGAAATCGCTTTGCACTACCATTTCGGGCATTCGTGACCTCAACGGCAACTGTTGGCTATGATAGGGACCCGCGAGTGGACCCCCTTTGCGAAAGTGTAGCGCATTGACGGGCTGTTGATGATGATGGTGGTGGGCGAGTCCCCCATAGGCACTGGCACTACCTTCACCTAAGATTTGCTGTCCCCTCACATCCCGTGATCCCTAAACAGAGGCACACAAATCAAAAACATCGATAATATTAACAATTAATGCATTTATGAATTAATATTAATTAAAAAACAAAACAAAAATATTTTGACAGTCAGTTGTCAACTCGTGTTTACTTTTAAACTAAAAGTCTCTTTAAATTTACGTAAAAATTTAATTTATATAAAACGAAATATTTAAGGAATAAATGATTGAAAATAAACAAAAGATGGGATAAAATATGGGAAAGAAGTGGTGAGAAGAAGGGGTCAAACCTTTTTACGTCCGCAACACAACATGTTTGAGAAGAGGATGTGTCGGACCTTTTCTCGCAATACAGACAACGTCGGCGGTGGCGGCGGATAGGGATCGGCGTTCATGTGTGCAGAACTGGTCACTCATTAACGGGACTCTGGTCTCAGGGATGCAGTGATAGCCACCACTCGATGGAGTAGAGCATTGTCTCGCCGGCACTCTTACCACCATTGCTTTGACCTTTGCGAAAGTGTAGCGCATTGACGGGCTGTTGATGATGATGGTGGTGGGCGAGTCCCCCATAGGCACTGGCACTACCTTCACCTAAGATTTGCTGTCCCCTCACATCCCGTGATCCCTAAACAGGTGCACACAAATCAAAAACATTGATAATATTAGCGATGAATGCATTTAGGAATTAATATTAATTAAAAAACAAAACAAAAATATTTTGACAGTCAGTTGTCAACTCGTGTTTACTTTTAAACTAAAAGTCTTATTAAATTTATGTAAAAAATTTATTTTATATAAAACGAAATATTTAAGGAATAAATGATAGAAAATAAACGAAAGATGGGATAAAATATGGGAAAGAAGTGGTGAGAAGAAGGGGTCAAACCTTTTTACGTCCGCAACACAACATGTTTGAGAAGAGGATGTGTCGGACCTTTTCTCTCAATACAGACAACGTCGGCGGTGGCGGCGGATAAGGATCGGCGTTCATGTGTGCAGAACTGGTCACTCATTAACGGGACTCTGGTCTCAGGGATGCAGTGATAGCCACCACTCGATGGAGTAGAGCATTGTCTCGCCGGCACTCTTACCACCATTGCTTTGATAGCGTATATACATTATGATCGCCACATCCCCTCCTATTCCCACAATCGCATCGCTTCGCGGAGTATTATAGACGAGTCTATCCGTAGTGGTAGTCAAGAATCCGTATTGAAAGTGAATGAAAACACATTCTGTGATCTCTCTCTCTC